TTTTTGAGATTATAGTATAACTAAACCATTTCTTCTTTCCTTTTTGTTCCTCCAAATCCTCCAATGTATCCCTCATTGCTCCCTATCAAATCAATGGCCTTTTTGTCATTAATTGTTATTGCATGTATAAATTATATGCTTATACATTATATATTCATATATGCATAATTTTACATGTATGTGTGTTTTTAGGGCTGACCATTTGGTATTGGATATTTGATTATACTGTGTAAAGGTATGTCACTCTGGTTGGTTTAATTAAAAGCTAAATGGCCAGTAGCTGGGGAGGAGGTATAGGTGGGACTTCCAGACAGAGAGAGCTCTAGGAAGAAGAAAAAGGAGTCACCAGTCAGATGTAGAGGAAGCAGAACATTTAAGAGGAGAGGTAAAAACCACAAACTATATGGCAACACGTAGATGAATAGAAATGGGTTAATTTAAGCTATAAGAGATAGTTAGAAACAAGCGTAAGCTAAGATTGCATTTTCTTAATTAATAATAAGTCTCCATGTCATTATTTAGAGCTGGGGAGACAGAGGAAGTTTGTTACAGGAATGTTTTGTAAATGTATTCATTAGGATTGGGATCCACAACTCTGGAATTAATTGGTTGTAGTTTTCTGTATAAATCTCCATGTATTGCAAAGAGGCATTTCATTGATAAGACGTGAGGACTACACTTATCTGTGGGTATAAGGACACATGTGTAGATTGTTAGGGATTATGGTGGTTTAGTAGATTCTCCCCCAGGATCCATGACTTAACTGGCACTGAGAAGTAGTCCAGGTTTCCAATAGCAGGCATGGTTTCCATCTTGTTGAGCAAATCCTAGGTCCAATTAGGGAGCTGTTGGTTACTGCCAAGGTACTCATGCCATTATTGAACTTGTATGGTTATCATACCATGCTGGTCATTGATGTGGTTCATATGTGTCACAGCTGGGTAGCACTGTTGCTTGTCCTTGTCTTTTGGAAGCTTCAATGGCACATTATGGCACCATGAAAGTTAGTCCTCACGGAGGTCAGCACTAGCTCGGGGTCTCTGGGCCCTAGTTCTAAAGTATTTCATATCTCTAGCAATACAGACTTAACTTTCACCTATGGGGGCGAAATAAGAGTAATAAGTACAGACTGAAGACGGAAGTCACAAAATAATCCCACACCAGTTCAGAATTATGAATAATAAAGGGTTATTTATTTAAGGGAAACCTACAGATCACTGTCCTAGATAACAACAGTCCTCTGTGTGAACAGGAACAGAGTCTAGCAGCCAGAAGTGAGAGAAAGAGTGCATGTTTTATAACTGCATATACAGTATAAGAGACCACACCCAAGTGAGCTGGTAACTTAAATGCTACTGGCTGAAGGAACGGGATGTGCTCCCACAGCAACAGACTATCTGTTTGGGAAGTTGCTTGGACAGCCCTAGCCAACAACTCAAAAGAGGGCTTCTTCTGTTTGGTGTTTGGAGGTGTGTGGATTAATATCTTTGATTTAGTTTCATGGTCCTCATGACTGTTTTTATGCCAATACCAGGCTGTTTTTCAGTACTGTAGCTCTGTAGTAGAGTTTGAAGTCAGGGATTTGATGCCTCCAGAAGTTCTTTTATTGTACAGGATTGTTTTGGCTATCCTGGGTTTTATGCATCTCCATATAAAGTTGAGTACCATTCTTTTAAGCTCTGTGAAGAAATTTGCTGGGATTTTGCTGGGCATTGCATTGAATCTGTAGATTCCTTTTGGCAAGACTGCCATTTTACTATGTTAATTCTACCTACCCAAGAGCATGGGAGATCTTTCCACTTTCTGGTGTCTTCTTCAAAGATTTAAAGTTGTTGTCATACAAGTCTTCCACTTGTGTGGTTAGAGTTACTCTGAGATATTTTATGCAATTTGTGGCTGTTTTGAAGGGTGATGCTTCTCTGATTTCTTTCTCAGACCTTTTATCATCTGTGTACAGGAGGGCTACTGATTTTTATAATTAATCATGTATCCTTCTACATTACTGAAAGTGTTTATGAGTTGTAGAAGTTCCTTGGTAGAATTTTTGGGGTCACTTATGTAAACTATCCTACCATCTGCAAATTTTGAGAGTTTGATTTCTTCTTTTCTGATTTGTATCTCCTTGATCTCCTTTTGGTGTTTTATTGCTCTAGTTAGGATCTCAAGAACTATATTGAATAGATTTGGAGAGAGTGGACAGCCTTGTCTTGTTCCTGATTTCAGTGGGATCGCTGTGAGTTTCTTTCCATTTAGTTTGATGTTGGCTGTTGCCTCGCTGTATGTATGTATACAAGTTACAATAGAAAATTGTTTAGGTATAAAACTGTGGACTCACCAGGATGAGATAGATAATACAGTACTTTCTCCAAATTTGGCAAATAGAAAAGGACTGAACATTATGAATGTAATCATTACCTGATAATCGTTTTTGTATATAGTTTTACTACGTTAGAGTTAAAACTTTTCCTTTTTGTTTAGATAAAGGGAGGGAGAAATGTTGTTGGGTATTTGTACAGTGTGTGAAATGTATTGTTGTGATTGGTGTAATAAAGGTCTGAATGACCAATGTCTAGGCAGGAGAGGACAGGCAGGATTCCTGGCAGAGAGAAGTGAGGAAGTGAGAGGGGTGGATCTGGGCACTCGGGAGATGCCAATGGGAAGCAGAGCAGGTCAGACATGGGGGATGGAGGAAAGATAACCAAGCCATGCGATAGGATGTAGATGAATAGAAACAGATTCATTAAGTTATAAGAGCTAGTGAGAAAAAAGACTAAGCTAAGGCCAAGCTTTCATAATTAGTCTGTGCTATTATTGGAGGACTGATGGTCCCAGTGACAAAGCTTGCTATACCCAATTGCACCAGAAATTGGTTCATATTGGGCCAGCTGACAGGGCACATTCAAAATAGGAGCAACTTCCTCGTAGCTTACACAAGCTAAAATCACATGTTTGTACAAGCTAGCAAAGTGAATTTATCCTCTACACAGAATGTTCACCTTCACCAGTCATCTGGTTATTCAGTGATGTAAAAATCAATGTGGGGATTTGAACTTTTTTCCTCTGTGTGGGAGCAAATCTCTCTGAGGTGTAATTAGAAAAAAGAGAAAGAAACTTGATGAGAATAAGGTGACACCTGGGGTAGTATCATAAGAAATTCAAACCTTTCACAGAAATAAGCACTTTTTCCTTCCTGTAAAACAACGGTGTAAATATACTTTCAGTTTGTTAAGTGGTCACATTTCAGTGTGAGCAACAAACAATATGTGTCTTGACTCCTTTGCTCACACATTTGTAAAATAATCTCTGTGCTTTTGAAAGTAGATGAAAGAGTGGCTCAAGAAGCCAGAGACAATCCGTAAAGTGCTTGTTGTACAACCATGGTGACTGGCACTCAGATGCCTGCACCCACCAAACACACACCTCTCTAACTCCAGTTCCAGAGTAATTCCTCCTAGAGTTTCTTATGGACAAGTTCAGGGCTTCTGTTATTGCTAGATCTGTCACCACAGCAGTGAGTATCTTTTTTCTCAATGAATCCTATCGACAATGCTGAAATTTTATTTACTCTCTCATGGTAATGTACTGGTCCCTGGTGAGTTGGTACCTGTTGTAAAACAGTTTCCTCCAGGACTGAAACATTCCACTCTGAAGGGAAGCTCCTCAAGCTGGAAGGCAAACAACTCAAGAGAACCCCAAAAGCCCCTGAAACTGACCAGATTCACTAGGCCCCTCCCTGTCTTAGTAAGCAATAGAAGCTGAGAGTCCCTCTCAGATGGAAGGGAGCTGAGCAGCAAGGAAGACTCTCAGGAGAGTCAACCTCAGACCAGCTGCCTGGAAGAAGCAGACACCAGACAGCTGCTTAGAGGATATTTAGACCACTAGAGTCACTTGGAAAGGACACTCTGCAGCCTGTGAAGCTGTCTGCAAGGTGTGCAGTGTTTCCAGGGTCCCAGCTTCTGTGAGCTGCCACCCATGCTGAGGGTGGGCTATGATGATGCACCTGTCTTTGAGTCATTTCTGCTCCTGTAAGCAACCCCTCACCCACATTCCTGTAAGTAACCCCAATAAAACTCATTGGTTTACTGAGTTGGACTTTGATGGTATCTGTACTTTGGTCCATCCTGGGTTCCCTATCTGAGGAGAGTAGACATGTGCTTCATTATCCTATGAAAAGTTTTGTCACACAACACTACCTACTGGGTTTTATAAATGCAAAATTCTGCTTATTCTTTGTAATTAGTAAGCTTATTGTGAGGGGCCATTTTGAAGGGCAATTATATTTTGTTTTCTATTATTGACCCTGACGGACGATTTTCTAAAAGATAAATGTACTAATCAGGATGAACTCGGTTATGCTGAGAGGATCTGGGTAACCTTGTGCTTTGCTGAGGGAAACTGAGATGTGTGTGATTAGTTCACAACCCTGCAATCCTGTCTTCCAACTCCTGAACCCAGCTGGGGGTGAGCAGGGCCACCCCCCCACCCAAGAACACTGAGTTACATTCTTACTGGTCACATCACAACCAGCTATAGAACCTTGAATGCTGTGGCTAGGTCAACCTCCGACTCAGGTATCACTTGTGAGGCTTGCCTCCCTTGTGTTAGCTGCGCGGTTAAGGCCTGGTGTCTTACAGTGACTAGGATAGTTTGTCCGATTTTGATGTCCTGGGACTTTAGCCACTTACTGTGTCCTAGAGGGACTTTTCTAAGAAAATAGTCGTAGAACTCCACGGGGTTTTCCGCGGTGGACCCTGGTGAACTGCGAACACTTGATTATTCACCAATCGGTTCCCGATGCTGCTCACTCAATTGGCTTCATACTTTGACTAACCCCTATGCCCCATTCAACTCTCTTCATCAAGAAAAACTATTCTGAGCTCTCCATCCTGTGACCAGATAAGTTTCTTGAATCAACTTGTGGATTTTACATTTCCTGGAGTAAGTGGTTCTCCGGACATCGGGGTCCGGCACCCAACACAGGCAATCCAGGCAGAGATTCTATGTGGCATCCAGGACTGTGTGGGATGGAGACGAAGCCTGAAACTTCCAGACAATGTAGAAAAAGGAAACAGCAGAATGAAGGAGGCACGGAGACGGAGTCTGAAGCCTTGAGACATGGTGGAAAACTGAAACGCCAGGATGAGGATAGAACGGATTGGAAGTTTGAGGAGCCCAGCAAGGCTCGGAAGAGGATAGCTCAGGAACAGCAAGATCTATGGCTTCAAAGCCAACAGTCCGTCAAAGAGCAGCCACGGAAACCCCGGGAAGAGAGTCCAAAACAACTAAAGCCCCTAGAGTGGGCCAAAGGTCCACCGGAGCAGGGTGTAACTGAGAGAAAGTCTGCTGATGGTGGTAAGGGTCGTAAGCGGCCCTATTGTGTCATGGAAGAATTTGCCCAAGACCATCAAAGGGAAAAGTACCGAAAGTTACAGCAGTGCCTTCAACACAATATTGACATGAACTCTGACCCACACAGGGCTCACACAACCCTCATGAATACTTTGAACATCAAAGGTTGTGGGGAAGGGCAGAGTCATGGATCCAGTCCAACTCAGTGTGATCCTAAACAATCTGTTGCCACAAGAGAATGTCTGTCACCAGACAAAAGAGCAAAGATGTCTACCGAGGAATCTTCTGATTCACAGAAGAAAGAGGGAGCAACCCTTGAAGAAAGAAGGCGACACCACTTGGAGTCTGACTTGCAAGGAACACAGGCTCAAATCCCGCATAGTGGCAGCAGCAGGTTACTCCCCAACAAGATGCCCATATTTACAACAGAGAAAAAGTCTGTTGCAGGCCAAGGAAAGGGCAAAGGAACAGACGAAGTCCTTGATGTTACCGAGGACATGGAAAAAGAAATCAAGAAGGCACTAGGTCCAGGGCCCAAAGACGAAATTTTAAGTAGTGCATTTAAATTGAAAATTACTAGAGAAGATATCCAGACACTAGAGACTGGTGAGTGGCTTAATGATGTGGTAATGAATTTTTACATGAATCTTCTGGTTCAGCGAAATGACAGTGAAGACTACCCTGCTCTTCATGTGTTTAGCACTTTTTTCTACACTAAGCTAAAACATGGCGGCTACAGTGCTGTTAAAAGATGGACTCGAGGAATAAATCTATTTGAAAAGGAAATCATTTTAGTGCCTATTCACCAGCAGGTACATTGGAGTCTAATAGAAATCGACCTAAGGAAACGCAGTATTATATATTATGACTCAATGGGACACACAGGGCAGAGTATCTGTGAAACAATCTTCCAGTATTTACAAAATGAGAGCAAGACTCGAAGGAACATGGAGCTGGACCCTTTGGAGTGGAAGCAATACAGCATGACGTCAGCGGAGATTCCTCAACAGCTGAACAGGAGCGACTGTGGCGTGTTTACCTGTAAATATGCAGATTACATTTCTAGAGACCAACCTGTCACCTTTTCTCAGCATCATATGCCCCTCTTTAGGAAGAGGATGGTATGGGAGATCCTGCACAGTCACTTACTGTAACAACATCCTCCCGGTTGCTATGGAAACCTGCACTTTTCCATCGATGCTTCTAGATACCTCATTCAAGATGGGTTGAAAATATTGAAAACAGATACTGAACTGTCCAACACGAT